TTCACAACTGATAAATGGCTTGATGGCATGATCTGATCTGCAGACGTACCTGGAGTAATGGCTCGTGCTTCATCATTGTCATTTGCACCAGTGTTAAGATTTGGAGTTATGGTTCTTTCTGCTGGATTGTCCACAACTTCTGAAACGGTTTGCTCTACTTCTGGATTGGGACGATCAGTGACTTGACTTATCAAGAAATCAGCTTCTCCAAATATGTCTGTGTTAACTGGCCACGTTCCAGTTGCAGCAAAACCAGCGCTCATATTCTTTGCAGTGATTGCTACATCAAATGAAAACTTTGCTATAGATGGGATATCATAAATTGTCATGACTTTCCCGGCATTGCTTCGCATCCAATTGTCGCAAGCTGTATTGATTGCTTTTTTTAAAGGCCAAAAAATGGTACGATCCAGCGGCTGTAGCTTGTGCGTACAACGTGGTGGAAATGTTAGCAAAATTATGCCATGTTCTCTGCAGAATTCAATGTTCTTTAGAGCTGTATGCGAGGAATGATTACCAAGAAGCAACAGAACTCTTTCCTCTTTTGATGGTCTAACATGATTTTTAAAATGCTCAAGAAAAACATGAAAATCATCCTCTTGCATCCAGCCTGATCCATTAGCTGTTCCGACTGAACCAGTTGAGCCGTCCCGAATAAAATGGTCTTGGAATCGTTTGCGTGGAAATATAAACATAGGTGGTATATAATTACCTATTGCGTTTCCAGCTAAAGCCAACGTTACCATGGTTCCCCTTTCTGCCGATGTCATCGCACTGACTTGTTTTTCACCGCGTCGTGCTATTATCCTATCAGGCTTTTGCACGGTAGTGATTCCTGTCTCATCGACATTCCAAATATCTTTTGCCTCAAGTTTATGTTTGTTTAAGACACCTGTGTAATTATCAAAAAAAGCAGCCACATTAATTTTATTAAAACTGGTAGCACGAGCAATGCTAGTGGCTTGAGGCAGTCGTAAAGTTAAATTGGTATGTCGTTGCATAAATAGCTTGAGCCACACTTCTCCTGCTTTTTCATTTTTCTCCCATGACTCTGGAATTTTTTTATTATATTTTTTTGGCTAACTTATACGCAATGACTCTAGTTTCTTTAGTTGTCAGCCCATAATTATATCCAGCACATGTTAGCAAATATTCGCTTAATATATTCTCTTCTTCTTTTGTAAAAATGGTTGGAACGGTATAACCCATGGACGGAGCTTGGCCTTCTGGGTTTTGCGTGGTAAACCTCTTTCTTCTTAATGTATCTTGACAAAGACATGTAGTTTAGATTGTACGAGGCCGCAGCATCTCTTAAACTTTTACCTCTTAACCTAACCTCTTCAAAGGCCAGGTCGTAGATTTCCACATTAGCAGTACCTCTATCAGTTTTTCTTGTATATTTATTAGGCATTCTGAAACAAAAAATAGCCATTTAGTATGCAGTATACTACAGTGACATACGTAGTCTTGCTCTGGAGGGGGTTTTGCTTGGACACAGAATTTTTTTTGTATTGTTTTTGAAAGACAAGTTACATTTTCCTACTATTCTTTATATATTTTTATATGCAGTAGGAGGGATTTTAACCCCCAAAACCCCCCCTGTGTGTGCCACTAATATGCTATTATACACATGTGCCTACTAACACAGATTTTTTTCATCCTTTATTTATTGAAATCTGTTTCTACAAATAAAAAAAAACAATAATCAATATGTTTATCAAGTAATTAACATAGGGGAGAGCTGTCCAGTGACAGAAATCCTTAAGATAAATTTCTAATATATATAAATATTTGAAATATAAATAACAATTTACAAAGACATTTTACTAACATATTAAAAAAAATAGCAATAGTTAAAATTATAACAACACACACAATTATAAGTTGTAGGTATATGTAGTATCAGTTGTAGCTATAAAATGATATATACGTTTATGTATATAAAGGTATAGAGAGGTCTAGAGGATCACGTCGTTTTAGTCTTCCTCTCCTTGGTCGCTTAAGTAGGTCTTGGGCAAGTGTATTTGGATGGTTTAGTAGTCTATTTTTGTAAGTGCCACTGAGTGAGACAACGGTGTCTTTAATATTTTGGATCTGAAGATCTCGGTGTATCACATAATTGGGCACGTACCACGGTGCATTGGTAATATGTCTCAAAACTTTAGATTGGAAACGTTGAAGTTTCAGTAAGTGAGAATTAGATGCTGTACCCCATATCTGTATACCGTAGGTCCAAACTGGCTTTAGAACACATTTATACAGTAATAATTTATTATGTAGACTTAGTTTGGATTTTTTATTCATAAACCAATACATTTTCCTGTATATTAATCCTAGTTGCAGTCGCTTTGTCCAGATGTGCTTTCCCCAATTTAGTCGGCTGTCAAAATGTATTCCCAAGTATTTAACATCACTTTTTTTGGGTATTATGGTATTGTTTATGCACACAGATGGTACACTCTCTTTGCGTAAAGTAAATGTTATATGTGCTGATTTGCTGCCATTTACTTTAATTCGCCACAGTTTTAACCATTTCTCTAGTTCATTTAAATGAATTTGTAAATTTTGACAGGCTGTAACAGGAACCGAGCTAGAAACCATTATCACAGTATCATCTGCATAGGTAGCGATTGTGCTGTTTACTCTTGTGGGAATATCTGCCGTGTAGAGTAAGTATAAAGTTGGTCCCAATATACTACCCTGAGGTACTCCCGATAGAATTGGAGATATGTTTGATACTGCTTCATTGCATCTGACCTGGAAATATCGATTGGTAAGATAGGATCTCAGAAGAGCATACAGAGGATGAGGAAAGTGAGTTTTTATTTTAGATAGCAGCCCCTCATGCCATACTTTATCAAATGCTTGTGAGACATCCAAAAAGGCTGCAGTGCAGTATTCTTTTTTTCAATCGCATCTCTTGCTACTTTGGTACTCATGTACCTGCTCAATTGTTCCATGTTGTTGCCTGAATCCAAACTGATAATCAGGTATTAACTTTTGTCTGTCGATTATAGAATTTATTTTCTGAAGGAGTATCCTCTCAAATATCTTAGAGATAATGGGAAGCAAACTGATTGGACGATAGGATGATAGTTCTAGTGGATCTTTATTTGGTTTCGGTATTAGAATAATTTGTGCCATTTTCCATTGAAACGGAAAATAGCCTAACTTTAGTATAGCGTTAAATATGTACATAAGCAACCGAAATCCTTCTTCGGGTAAATTTTTGCAGATTTTTCCCGATATTAAATCATACCCTGGAGCTTTTTTAGTATTGAGATGTTTAACTAACTCTTTTATTTCGTTAATTTTGATATTTTCTATAGGAGGTGACATCTGGTAGGGTGCATCTAAGTTCTTGTGAATGAATTCTTCTTCTTCCTTTGAGATAGTTCTGGAGTGTGGTTGAAAAACTTGGCTGAGATGATTAGCGAATGCTTGTACTTTATCTTCATCGGCCTTGGCCCAATCACCGTCTTTATTTCTAATGGGACCGTCATGCTTAATCTGATGTTTAAGTTTCCTAGAGAGTTTCCAAATAGAGTAGTTTGTGTCATCCGTCGCAGTAAGACTTTCAAGAAATTCATTTATGCCCTGATCTTTGTATTTGTGTAATTCTCTTTTAAGCAAACGAGTAGCCCTATTCAGTTCAGTTTTGTTCTCAGGAGATCTGGAAGTTTGTCACTGTTTTCTTAGTTTTCTCTTTTCGTTGATTAAGATTTTTATATGATGTGGATATGGTTCACAGTTATTACCCGATTTAGATCTGGAGTTGCTCTCCAAGCTGCCCGTTGAATGATTGATGTAAGGTGATGAACTGCTTCCTCAATATTTTCACTTGTTTTAAGAGGAAGATTTAAGTTAATTGTGTTTTGAATATTAAATCTGAACAGACTCCAATTTGTTTTATGATTTGAAAACGTGGGTATTTATTTGTATTATATACATGTTCCATCACATCAATAAATATGGGAGAATGGTCCGACGAAAGGTCAAAAGAAGGTTTAATGTCTAAAAAGTTGTTACTTATTCCTTTTATGATACCAAAATCGATGAGATCGGGTATTTTATTTCTATCTGTAGGCCAGTAGGTTGGCTGCCCAGTAGAAATTGGAGTCAAGTTATTTTCGCTTAAACTTTTAATAAGTTCTCTTCCGCGAGTTGTTATCAGTCTTGAACCCCATCTTGTATGTTTTGCGTTAAAATCACCTACTGCAATAAAGCGATGACCAAGCCCTTTGAAATAACTAGAGAAATGGTCCTCTTTAATTATTTTACCAGGGGGACAATACGCAACTGACATCGTTATGTGCCCTTTATTGAGTTCTAGATATAGAGGTTGCCTGAATGTTGATTTCACACACTTTATTTATTTCGTGATGTTTTATATTACTTCTAATGATTAACGCAGTTCCACCATGACCTTTTCCCATTGGGTGTGGTGTGACATAGGTGCAAAAATCTGGCATACTAAAATGGCTCTTCAGATATATAAGCTTCAGAGACCATCATGATATCAAGATTGTGTAACTTTATAAATGCCTTAATCTCCTCACTATGGTTTGTGAGGCCGTTTGCGTTCCAATATCCAATTTTAATTTTGGGGTTGAACATTAAGTTTTGATAACATCGTTATGAGAAGGTCGAACATTTTATCCATTCTATCCATAAGTTTTTGAACCATCAATTCTAAACTGTTACTTGTTTCTGTTGTATTCAGTTTTTCCTGTGTAGTATTTGAGACAGATGCGGTAGTATGATTTGGTCCCTCCACAGCGTTTGCATATGTTACAGATGGGCGACGAGTATTTGAGGAACTTGGCGGGCAATGAGATTGTATTTTCTCCCTCAATTTTGGAAATTGTTTTCTTTGGAGCTGTTTGTAGACCAAACAGCCTCTGTAGGATGCAGGATGATTTTCTTGGCAATTTGTACACTTCACATTTTAATTCGTGTTGGATTGGGACATTCGGATGACAAGTGATTGGCTGTACATTTTACGTATCGTGGCATTCTGTTGCAATATTTGTGATTTCTCTTTTGGGATGTGGTGGTTCAACTTCAACTATTGAGTTAAGTAGTTTATTGACTTTATAAATGTCTTTATTGTTTGCATTAGCAACCAATTCTACGTGGAAAAGTGGTAGTTGCTTTTTATCCTTTATTCGTTTTATGTTGGAGATATTTTTGACTGAATGTCCTAGTTCTTCGTGATTAAATCCTACTTCCTGTACATCAGCACCTTTCACTGCTATCCAAGATAATAGCCCCATTAATTTATCTTCGATTGGGGTTAGTATTTTTCCATCTGCTTCTCCACTACCTGTCCGTTGTTAAGATTTTATGCACTCCCTTGCTTTTTTTTGTATGACTCTTCCAGTCGATGAAGGTCTGCAAAATAATTGAATTATCTAACTAAATTACTAATAATTATATATTATCAAGGTTAATGAAAATCATTAAACATTTTAAGAATTGCTGCTCTAATAAATTTGCTATACCAAAATCTAATTAATTTACCAAAACTCTTCTACTTAGTCTTAGAAAAAAAACATACTTTCTTCCACTGCATTTTTGGTTTTTGCGGACCTGAACCCATGGCATTCAGTGAGAGAGTTAACTCATCCCACAATATATTATTATTTGCTTCTGACGGTTTGGTTTTTCCGTGCAATAATATTTTATGATCAGACATAAAGTTTACTAAGTAATTTAATTGTTCAGCAGATGCCTTTTTCGTTGGTGTTCCGCTTGCCATTTTTTATTCTTTTGTAACGATAATAATATTATCGTTACAAAAGATTATATTATAATCTTCTTTTTTGATGAATTTTTCGCGCGCGCTAGCCTTTCCAGTAACATAACGTCACAGAACACTTATTTCGCTTTGCAGAGCGGGGTTGCCACCAACTTCGGAGCGCGTCAAATCGAACTTGGCAATATTCATAATAATGAATAATAACATTTAGGACCATTTCTATTCGACTTGACAATTTCGATTCGATTTTACTCATTTCTATAATCGAAACGAGTTATGGAATAGGTCCGATTAGATCTGATTCTATAACTTTTTTCATTTCTACAATAGAAATCGTAAATAGAAATTGATTTCGACAGCGTTTATTCTGTCGAAATGACTTTTCGATATCGAAATTTGTTTTGTTAAAACTTCAAATTTTCTTTTTATGTTTGTATTAAAATTGTATTTCTAAGTTTTATCATGGATTTTAAATTTAATTTCGGTATCAATCTTAGAATTGAAATTGAAGAAGAGTTTACAAAGGTAAATAAAACATTTCGTGATAAAAAAATGTAATAATTAACTTTTTGTATCGGAAATATTTTGAAAGATACCTGTGTATTTGATTATCATTAAAACTTTTTATAAATTTTTTATTTCTGTAGGCAAATATTCAATCTTCAAAGACGAACCGTTAGGGATGCAAGTAATCCTTTTGAAATCCCTGAAAACTTGTTTAAGGGCTTGTACCGTTTACCCAAAGAAATAGCAATGGACCTTATAAATGAAATTGAACCTTTTTTGGCGAGAAACAAAGAATTACACATGTACCAAATCATTTAAAGGTGTTATAATTTAAGTTAGGTGAAGTTTTAAGTCATCCAAAGACAAGGCAATATGTACTTTATTTCTTTTTGCCTACAGAACAATACAAAAATTGACTGACAGTAGTTAATACATTTTTGACATTACATTAAACTATCAACAATGTCACTTCATAATAGAAACACTATATGACAACATCCACTTTTTATGTTGGATATTCTAACACTCTCCCTCAACATGAAAAGTAGATAAGCTAAATAATAGACCTTAACAAAATAACATTATTATACAATTTTGGTTTTATTTCTAACAAGTGTAGGGTAACGCTTAGATTCTTGAACACTATCACTATTTCTTTCTTTTCTATTCACTTCTTGATTTTCACTCGCAATTTCTTCTACACTTTTTATATTCTCAGATTCCACAATTTCACCGACACCACACTTCTTCGGAGTTTTCATTCACACTAAAACATTCCGACTGATGCTGGTTCACTGATTCGGCTTTAACTTCAACAATTCGCAAGTTGCATATAACCTCAGGTTTAAACCGTACGTCGTAGCTCGATACGATTCTTCTTTCAGATTGAATCCATAACTAAATAACCATGTATCGCTTTGTCATCAAATTTACTGCGAAGATTCTTGTTAACGTGAACATAACATTCAGTGCCAAATATTCTTAAATGTTTCAAACTTCCAATTGGCTTTCCATACCACAATTCATAGGGACTTTTACTTTCAATTGATGACTTTCCTGTGCGATTCAGAATATACACTGCAGTATTGCGTGCTTCTGCCCATAATTGTTTGGACAACTTACATGTGTCCACTTAACATGGAACGTGCACACTCTACAATGGTGCGGTTTTTCCTTTCAGCAACACCATTCTGCTGAGGTGTATAGGGTGGAGTGATACAATGTAGTAAAGCAACATCTCAGTTGCTTTACTACATGACCATTTGTACTAGCTTCATTAAAAAATTGTTCTAAGAAAGTACATACCTCACTTTTGCGTTTCATAAAGAAAACTTTCCGAAACTTACTAAAGTCATCTTTAAAACATTCGTAATAACGTGTTTTTCCCAGTGATTCTATAGACATGGGCCCATTCACATCTGCATGGATCTGCTCACCAGTGACTTGTGGTCGATTGATCCTAGATTTAAATGGCAATCTATGCATTTTTCCAATTGCACATCCATCGCAAAAGCTTTCTTTGCACTCATCAATGTCTATATTCATTTTCTTCAATACCTTCTTTACATGTTGCTTATGCTGATGACCAAATCTTTCATGGTACACTTGCAACATATCTGTTGACTCTACTAGGTTGACTTGAACGGGATTTGTCGGTTTCATAACATGTATATCAAGTGAATACAGGCCATTACAGAAGTACCCAGTCATTACAGATTCACAAGTGTTTTTATCATATATATTTACACCTTTTTCATCAAGTACTGTAATAAAACCCCTTTGTGCAGCAGCTTTCACAGAAAATAAATAAGCACTTGCTTCACGAACATAAAAAACATTCTTCAAGTCAGCACCTTTCCATTTATTATTCAGATGCGTTTGAATTTTCACTGTTCCTTGTCCATGGGCTAACATACATACATCCTTCTTACCAAGTGATATACTTTCTGGTTCAAAAAATTCTGTATAAGATGAGAAATACTGCTTATCTGTAGTGATATGATTTGTGGCTCCACTGTCACAATACCATTTTCCAGCTTCAATACAATTGTTAGATGAGGCACTTAAAACAACAGACAAAAAAGCAGTATCATTACTTTTATTCTTACCTACATTCTCAGCTGATTTTTTCAACGGACACTCTTTCGCCTAATGGCCTAATTTCTTGCATTTATGACATGGAAATTTTTCTTTTGCACGATGTACATTTTTCTTTAAATTCATAGTTTGGCTCTGATTGTATTTTCCTGTCGGGCTATTGCGTGCAACAAACGCAAAACATTCTACAGTACTTTGGTCACGTAATTCAATGGTACACAATTTCTCAATCAGCAAATTCAAAGTTTGATTCTTTGATGGTATCGTATCTCACAAATCTTTAAAATTATCAAAGTCTTTACCCAAAGTTGATAAGATCCGACCATTTAACATTCTTTCGGATAAAACATTTTCATCATGCTTCTGCAGTTCATCATTCAAATCTACAAACAGTTTCTGTAACTTCGCAACATGTGTACTAATATCTTCTTTTTCATCACGTTGGACTCTAAAAAGGCTTCAATTAACATGTTTAACCGTTGCGTACTGCTACGTTCAAATCTCGCACGCAATTTGTCCCATATTTCACTAGCGTGAGAACACGTCAACACGAGCTCGGCAACAGTTTTTCCTAGCGTACCTGCTAACAAACTTGCCGCTTTCGCATCGTCTTTTAACCATTGCTGATGCTTCTGTAGTTCCACTGAAGTTGAATCCTCACTAACCTCAGGACATTTACACATACCGTTTACAATGTCTTCAAGTGCATACGAACGTAATAACATCGAAACGTGCCATTTCCACTTTGCCCAGTCTTCAGGACCCTCGAGTTTGTCAACTTGAATTATATAATCGTTATTGCTGGTCGCCATATTTTATTCACCGACAATAACAACAAACAAAACTGAATAAAGTAAGAACCTAACTTGTTCACAGTTCACACGTGGACTGGGCCCAAAACCTGTTATAATTTAAGTTAGGTGAAGTTTTAAGTCATCCAAAGACAAGGCAATATGTACTTTATTTCTTTTTGTTTATTGCAATATTTATTATTGTTTGAGTTGTGAAGTTCGAAGTTTAATTTATTTGGATTTGTTTTTCTACCTTATTTTATTATATTCTGAGACGAAATAAAATGAGTAATATTGAGCGAAATTTTATATGTTGTATTTGTAAAGGACGATCCTTTTCAAAACAATCCAATCTTAGGGCTCATGTCAAAAAGTTTCACCCAGGTAAGTTCATGTTTATAACCATTACAGATATTAGTGCACTATTATCAGTATCAGCAGATACACTATTAGTGCTGTGTTGTGAGTTTTTTTTTTCAGACAATTTTTTACTTTATTTACATTTTCATGTATTATCTTTATATTTCATGCATTTTTATGTATTTTTCTTATCATTGTATACTTGGTAAAATTTTGGTATTCAATAAATTTTTTCCCGGCCACAGAATCTCCAGAGGAGGGGGGATGTTCTCGGACGCGACTAGTTCACGTTCGAGACGCATCGCCCCGCCCCTTATTTTTCCCGTTGGCCCCTCCCTGGCCTGGAAATCCCTAATCGCTACTTCAGAAAGTATAAAAATAGGCGATTTTCAGGTCAAATAACACATCACGAAACTTTAACTTTGTGCAGCCCACACGTCTCGTACAAACCTTCAACGTGAACGTACACGTTCCCGCCAAAAGTGAAGACCCAGAAATCCAACAAAACAGATCTAATCGTGAAACGTGTCGCGGAAAACGGTAATCAGCGTGAAAAACGGTCGCGAAACTCGCGAACGGATCCACGGTACCGGTAGTGACGCTTTCTGGACGAGAGGATCACCAGAAAACAAACAATAGGTGCGAAATTACCACGTGGAGGCGTAAAATTTGTCATGTAAGGCGCCAAAACTGGTAACTAGCACCGAACCGAACGGACGTGGTACCAACTGGCTAACAGATCCCTGTAACTGATACTGAA